TTATATATCAAATTTGTCATCACCCATCTTGTTAAAAAGCGACTCAGGAAGGTTTTTATATGTACATTAAAACCAAATGTACATGATATTCTATAGCACTCACTGACCATACGGCTGGACGAAGGCTGAAAAATCAGTGGTACTGTTTTCTACCATTTTATAATGTGAAACCTGAAATAAATTTCATGTAAGAATCCCCTCATCCCAGAAAATCCAGTTCCTACCTGGCTGCATGACATGTTTCACTGCACATCAATCCTCAACCCATCCTAAAAATGTTAAAGGTTACCTGAAGGGTGCCCAGCCTTGACATAAAGCATTCAACACCCAAGGATGCGTTATCTATATCCACAGTTTCAGGAAAGTTACAATGGGATGTTTAGGTTGAAAGCTGAACCTAAACATCTGGCACCAATGGTTTTACATAATAAGAAACAACATATCAGTGAAATTCCATTCCCTGGATGGCACCCTGTACCTTTGCAATATTCTCAGGTAAGGTTTCCTGAAGTTGGCTTTTATTTTCTTCTCTAATGCTCTGCATAACCTGCTGAAGGTCATCTCTCTCTTCTTGAAGCAAGGTGTTTTCTTTCATCAGCTGTTGTACGTATTTCTCTTGCTCTCTCAGTTCGGCTGACAAGTGTTTCTTTTCCTCAGTAAGGCTGCTTATCTCTTCATTTGATTTTATTATCTAAGAAATTAAATGTTACACCATTACTAAAGCAGCCTTCCCCAGCTAGTACCTTCCAGAATAAAGGCAGCTTTTAACACTCCTAATTCAGTGTCAGAATACGGAGGACACAGAGTTAGGGAAAGCTAAATCAAACTCTGTGTAGCATTAAACTTTATGATAAATAATACTAAGGAAATTAAAATGTGCTTAATTGTTTCCCTAAACTGCTTGAATCCCTTCTATTGCTCTTTTTAAATATTTCAAATTATTTTAGATTCGCAAATGCTATTTTCTTAACTTTTCAGTTCAGTAAATATTTGAAATACTTATGTACGAACATAAACATTACTATAAATGCTTCAATTCATAAATCAGCTTACCTTCAAAATGTCACCACTTCCATAAATAGATTATAAATTCTATTCTAATGCATTCTAGAAAGCCTAACTTGATCATTAATTTTCCCCTGCTGCAACTCAATTCTTCCAGGGTGTCAGCAGGGGTTCCTAAAAGCCAGGATGAGGCTGTGATCATGCAATTAACGCCTTGCCTCTTTTTATTATTCCCCTGCCATCCATTCAGAATACGCTTGGCTTTCATTCTGTTTTTCAAGACTCTCTCTAAACAAGAGGCCACATTTCTGTTAAACTGTCCTTAAGATAGTTAATCAATTCTTGAGATTTTCCCTCTTCATTTTTAAGCAGTAAAAGCTAAAACATATGTTGAGCCACAGTTGGAGTAGTGCAGGCATTGAATTCATGTTCACAGAAAATGGTATCCCATAATATGGTTTTTTCAGTCTTCGTATCCCATGCAGCTATAACCATTACAATTTTGCATGCTGTATAAATCAACCTAGTCTGCTTTATTTTGTATGCTATAATTAAGGCAAATCATGGCTTGGTGTGAATGCAACTAATATTAAAAAAGAATCCTGACTTACGTTTCTTTGAAATCACAGGAACTTAAATGAAATAGCAATTCTAAATTGCCCAGGAAAGGGTAACCTCAAAGTACAGGAAATGCAGCAAATCCTTTAATTTCAGTTTACAAAGCTACTGGCGGGGTGGTGGTGAGAAAAATTAAAGTATGTTCTTGATCTCCTGCTAAGGGCTATGATTTTGTTTTATGGTATTTTATTTCCACAGTATCATCCTTGCAATACTGGCTAAGGGCCACCAGTCTTCTTCTGAGTCCTATAAGTATCCTAGAGCAAATCAGAGAGTTGTCTGCATAAAGCAGAAAAGGCATGTGTTTCTCTGCTAACATGGTGTGTGCATGTGTATGCATGTGTGAAAGTCCAGATTCTTCTAGTGGCCCACTCTGAACTTTTTCATAAAGTTGAACACGAATGGAGTTAGTAAATAGTGTGGTTTGACATTCTAGATAAATACCCTTGGGGTCAGAATGTTTGGTATATAGATCAGGACCACAAACATTTGTAAGATGTGGATCACACTTGATTTTCAAGCTGTATGCTCCAAAGTTAAATCAGGACCAAAAAATTAATTTGTTTTAAAGGAATTAATATATTTTGTAAAGAATGGTCTAACTTCTAAAAGCATGAAAGAGTTCTAATCAATCAAATCAAATTCCAATCCAGTCTCTTGGAAAGTCAATTAGACTCTTACTACAAGCCCACAAGAAGGACATGAGCAGGATAATACACCCATGTCCCATTGACATTGGTCTTCAGAAAGAGGCTGCTGTTGAAATGGGAGGGGGTGCAAAACCATCATATACTAATAGCTGTTGAATGTTCATTCCTCTCTAAATTTGGTTAATCCTGCTTCTTGTATAGCCAATTCCATAGTATGAATATGTGCTCTGTAAATTAGCAAAATAGTTCCTTTTCACCTGTCCAGACTTGTTTTCTAAATTCGAGACATGTCATTTTCTTACTTTTTCTTTCAAGTGTTTTGTTTCTTCTTTAATCTCCTCTTCAAATTTCTGAAATGTCTGCTGTTTCTCGAGAACCAAATTCTTCTGGGTATTTACTTCATCTTCTTGTGATTTTACATACACCAACAATTTCTCCAGTTCTAGTTGACTATCCTCAGTCTTAAATAAATAAAGAGAGAGAGCGAGAGAGAGAGAGAGAGAAAACTCATCACATCATGAGATACAATCAGTCAGGACATCAGTTGCATTTCCTGCTGTACAAAATAAGGAACTATTAAGAGTTCTTGTAATTGTGATTCCTGTAATTTCTTTAGTTTAAATAAGGATTATTGACCAGGGAAGTGGAGAACTTTAAACAGCAGACACTTTTTAATATTAAAAATTTTAAAAATACATTTTTCTTGCCTTTTTCTTCAGCTCTTCATGAATTTTTGAAGTCTGAGAATCTGTGGCTATGATTTTTCCTTTCAGTTCTTCTACCATTTCCTTATGTTCTCTAAGAGAATTATTAGCATCCCTCAGTTGTTCCTGCAGTTCCAAATTCTTTAACAAAAAATAAAGCCACACACAATCAAGTTGACCACCACATTTAAATTAAATCCTAATCCAATAAAAAGTATCTCCCCAAAGGTGGCAGTGATTAAATTCTTACCGCTGGAACAAGCCTCTCTATAGTCTCACCCAGACGGTGGACGGTTTGAGTCATGTTATCCTTCTCAGCTTGAAGAGCTTCTACCTCTGTTCTCAGACGTTCTTTTTCTTGGCTGATGTATTTGACATCTTCTGCAGTGCTCTGAAGCTTCTGAATCAGCTCTGCTTTCTCCCTCTGCAGGGCTTTGATTTGAGACTCAGGGATAATTTTCAGCTGTTCTGCATCGTTCACGCTCTCTACATTCTGCTGGTTCTCCTCTTCTTTCAGGTGGAGCAGTTGCTGCAGCTCAAGGGAATTATTTTCTAGCTCTTGGATCTGAAACGTGATTTTTAGGAAGAGGAATTAGGCTGTTTTGCACTTACTCCTGATTATTCGTAAACACAAAACTTGTCATTATTTAGGAATGGGGGAAGAAAGGCACCAAGAGTTTAGAGAAGAGAGTAATGTTTTTTAATAATCAGAATCCAGAGGTAACATTTTTGTCTAGGCAAGGTCTACAGTAGACAGGCTGATGACTGAATGGGACAGTGTCACAGATGTCAGAACTTTTTTCCTGGTTTTTTTCCCCCCCATGTGCATGGAAGGGGGGGGAATTTGGAGGTTTCCCCCTTTTTAAAAAATGATGCCTAGGATATTTTTGGACTTATACCATATCCCCTGTTCTCTCCTTCAACATGGCAGAAAACTGTGCCATGCATTTCCAATTTCTGGAGACTCTACAACACAGATCCCCTGGGAGTGATTGCAACGTTAGAGCTGCAGGATAGCTACTCTGGGCTTAAATCTCCTTTTTTCCCCAAGTATAGTCAGCATAGTATCTTTATTATGGTCTTTACCCAGCAAGTAAAAACATCATTTTTGGAATTAACAGGTTGTCTTGTCTCGAACATTTGTGAAGACAAGAACAATTTAAAAGATGGCGTGATAAAAGCCAGACAAATTGATATAAAACAAAACACTGCAAAAAGGTTATAAGGTTCCCTAAGATTAGAGTTTAGACACAATTCAATTGATGAATAAAATATAATAATATATTGTACTATTAGAAGAGCTAAAAGAAGAAAAATAAATTAAAAATTAAGTTGTGGGAAAGGAACTTTATAAAACTGTGAAAGTGGAGATGGCAGTGTAATAGTCTGGCAAGTGTTGATTAGCTCTAGTTGGCAACATTATGTGTTATAAGGAGATTAAAAACAGAGGAGTGGGGTGATATAGAATTAATCTGTATGGCCTAGCAACACTGAGAATACTGGAAGAATAGTGTGGATCTCTGTAAAATGAGCAAAAAAGGAAGACACGCTTAGTAGCTTCAACTTGGTCCAGTGTCATGGGGCACAGATATACCTGGAAGGGAATATTCCTTTATTTTCCATCTAACAAAGCTAAAGAGAGGGCATTGCAGCAAGCCGAAGTGAAGAGTCTTCTGTGCTAGAGCTTCTAGCGATGCACGATAGTATCATGATGTATCTTAGACTTTCAGTGACTGTGAGATTTAGAGTTTGGTGCTGTGTCCACTATATGCCTATAAAGAATGCATTGGCCTGTTTCTAACACAGAGTTAAAAAATAAAGATGGCGGGGGGCGGAAGAGCCCATAGTTTGACCAGAAAAATGTTACAAGTGGTCTGGTATCCAACGTCCAGTGGCAGTGGTGGGGTGTGTGTGTGGGGACGGCTAGACCTGAATACAGACAACATATTCTGGCTAATAGAAGCAAATATGTGTAGCTCAGGGTTGAACTGTGGAGTCCTTGGGGTTCTCTGAGCTTGGTTGTTTTTTTGCAAATGTATTCTGGCCTCCACATTCACCAGGCCTACCTCCGGTT